TCTCAGCGTTCAATACAACATTGGTCAGATTTCCCTAGGAGGTTCTCGTCTCTCCGGTGCTAACTTAAGAGCTCCTCCGTCGTTGATCACCCAACCAGGTGCTTTTTCCTCCACAAACTCCGGTCAACCCTTCGCCTCTTCTCCTCAGAGTTTCGCGAGGCCAAACATCAAGAAGCCTGATCTTGAATATCTAGGTTATCTCTTGGGCCTAATGACGTGTCCAACACGTTACTCTGAGTTCCATAGCTACCTCGAAAGAATCGATACTTATGAAACGGATCATAAGAAGAAAATGTTGTTCACAATCGGATCAATCTTGACCACAAACCACTTCACTTTCGTTGATTTGGCCACACACCAATACGGCTCACAGGCTTTAAAAACCCTCCTCAAACGTAACCCTAGCTTAATAGACAGATTCATATACGAGGCCGTTTGCATAAACTTCAGTGTGCTCATGAACAGTAAGTACAGCCATAACTTGATCGTCGACGTTATCCGAGCCGTCGATAAATTCAAGAAGGAGAGTCTCTACGAGCTAACGTACATCAACGCTCTGTTTCTTGCGGAACAAGAAACCGGATGTATTGCCCTAAACAATGTGTTTCAAGAAATCAAAGGCAAATTCAGAGAACTAATCTTCGGCCTCGTAGCGCTGAACGCGGATAGGTTAGCTTTCGATCCTTACGGAACACACGTGGTGCAGAACTTTGTGACACTTAAGAATCCTCGTGCAACACGCGCGATCGCGGTGACTCTTTTTGGAAGTTTCTTCCGGTTAGCAATGGAGAGACAAGGAAGCTATTTGGTGGAGAAGTGTCTAAAATCAGATCAAGGGAGAGAGATAGTGTTGATAGAGTTTAGAAAGAATGATAGAGAATGGGTAAGAATGGCGAGTCATAGGTATGGGAATTTTGTGACACAATGTGCGTTGTTAGTGATGAAGGAGAGAGGAATGAAAGCAATGTTGAGAGAGTTTGTGGAGAAGCTAAGGCCTCACTTTGGGAGTATGGAGATTGGGCATGGGAAGAACACATTGAAAGTGATTGAAGAAAAAATTGAGGATTATCTTCTTGAGCTTCCATATAATCTGCTAGGTTTTATGCATTGAAAGTACTTTTGTTGTTCTTAGGGTTGGTTTTTCCATTGTCGTAGTTATGTTACTCTTTGTTTTTCCTTTTCTTATTGGGATTTTTGGTTTTTAATTTTATGTCACGGTATTGTTATTTCTTGTTTACGATTAATTGAGCTTCCAATTAATGTCTATGCCTCTTTTTTTAGGCGAAACTATTTTCTTGCTTGCTCGTGGATTTCCTTTTTTGTCAAAACAAAATTTTGGACGGTGTCTACTAGAAATAACCCGAATAAGACCAATCTGATCGACATCCATAGATGTAAAGACAAAAACAACAAAATTGATGAGACAAATATGGGAGCCTACGGGAAGAAGGACAAAATCAATTTGAATTCCAATGACAAAGACAAAAGATATTAGCTTTTTTTTAGGACACATGTTTTTGGATTGAGACATTGTAATTAATTTGGCAACAAAATAATAATGACACAAGACTTGAGATGATCATAATGATGACAAAAAACTAAAATTGAATTGATAAGCCAAGAATATGGGGTCATGTGGATTAGTAGTTAGTTACTGTGATAAGAGTAAGACTAGTTAAGAGCTTTCTCTTTTATGACCCAATGCTCTCTCACCTAACATTTTAGTTTCACACAACACACGTCCTTATTATTTTAACATAAGATTTTTGGACCACTTTAAAACAATGCAATGAACATAATGATACAAATCAATCCATAAGCATACTTAAAAAAAGTTAAATCATCTTGGATAATTAATCTACAAAAACACCACTAAAAAGTTCCAAAAAGGATACTTAACAAAAGTTAAAACAGTATCTGAAATACTTTTACATATATTATTAAAAAGTTTCTGAATCTGATCATAAACATTTACCACAAATTTAAGCTCAATCTCATCACTCACACACAGTCTGAATTCTGTGAAACTCCTTTTGGTGCCATGTTAACCGTCACTTTCCCATCCGGTCCGGTTCTCGAATCGGTCACACCACTAACCGGTTGACCCATCCCCTGGTACTGCGGCTGAGCCGGAGGCTGCTGCGGTTGCACCATCATGCCGTCTCCAGCCACAGTGTAGTACACTTGATTCCCCATCTGTGAATACGGTGCCGTTTCCTGTAAACCCATTGGACCAGCACTAGTCATAACTTGTGGACCACCTGAATACTGTGGCTGTTGTGGTTGAACCACATTGTAACCTTGCTGGCTTTGCTGCTCCATGTACCCATCAGGATGATGAAGTCTCTGTACAGGTGGGTAATAGCCTTGGTTTCCTTGTGTCGGTGGTCTCATTACACTGTGATACAATGTCCCTGGAGCTTGAGATTGAGCTGGAAACATGTATACTTGTTGTTGTTGTTGCTCCGGTAGATTCGGTGACATTGTCGTGTACACGTTCCCTGGAATGTTGTTGTTGTTTCCTTGCCAGTAACCAATCGGAGGTTGTGGATTCGTCTGAGATACTGTCGTCGGCGCCGGAGAAAAGTATCCTCCGTCTTCACTCTTTCTTCTGTACATAGCCTC